ACATTGAAAGTACTGAACACACACACATTGAAAGTCTGTACATTGTACACACATCATGAAATCTGAAACACAACACACATTGAAAGTCGTACACACACACATTGGAAAGTCTGAACACCACATTGAAATCTGTACACACACACATGAAAGTCTGTTACACCACACACATTGAAAGTACTGAACACACACACAAATGAAAGTCTGACACACACATTGAAAGTCTGTACACACACACATTGAAAGTCTGACACACACATGAAAGTCTGAACACAATCACACATGAAAGTCGTGTTACACACACCCATTGAAAGCTGTACACACACACATTGAAAGTCTGACCACCACCACCATTGAAAGTCTGTACACACACATTGAAAGTCTGAACACACACACATTGAAAGTCTGTACAACACACATTGAAAGTCTGCACACACACATTGAAAGTCTTGCATCACACACATTGAAAGTCTGAACACACACATTGAAAGTCTGTACACACACATCATGAAAGTCTTACACACACACATGGAAGTCTGTACACACACTTGGAAGCTGTACACACACACATGGAAGTCTGTACACACACATTGGAAGTCTGTACACCACACACATTGAAAAGTCTGTACCACACACACATTTGAAAGTCTGAACACACACATTGGAAGTCTGTACACACTCTATTGGAAGTGGATTGACAATAAGTTGGCTTTTTGACGACAGCATTTCTCTGCAGAACCACGGCTTTCAGGGTAGACAAGTGTACAACAATATCCTTTTTATAGTTTAATTATCAGGTCACCTGCAAGAAACATGAGAAAGTGGATTTTGCATAATAGGGCGACCTTATTAAATATATTCTAAACCTTTTTATAACGCAGGTCTCTGTCTCTGCTGGCTGCGGGAGGTGATGTCTGGATCCGTCATGTTGCCCACCATGGACTTCATGGCCGACCCTGTGGTAAACTGCTTTTATGATCCAAATGAACAACTACTAAGAGTCTAAACTGATGTTAATGTGGACCTATCATGTATAGATTTGATTAATATAGTGTAGGACCAACCTATAAAAGGCAATTTATACTTTCATTTCAAAAATCCAACAGACATGGCCATTTTACCATTCCTCAGTTCACTCATTTAACACTGTCTTTGCATCAATGGTACTGATTCTGTGAGAACAGCACCATCTACAGGCCTGGCAATGTACTACAGGCGTCTCCAGAGGCTTTCCAACAGCAATGTCCTGGGCATGTCCCTCCTGATTGGTGGAGTTGCCCAATTAGCCGAGGCCACTTCTATGACGTCATAGAGTGTTCAAATCTGGATCAGTCTTGTATCGAGATTCCGGTTGCAGCCCCTTTTTAAGAGATTGGGTACGAGGAAATAGGAGAGGGTGTGTTTTCTGAACACTTGGTGAGTTCCTGGAACCACGTTGGGGACAATTTCATGTAGAAAAGACTTACAAAAGGTGCATTTTGACATGATAGGTCCCTTTAAAGCCGGGTTCATGTTTCGTCTGACAGTGGTTATGAGTAAGCACTTGTATATTCTGTCATTTATTGATTTATTGTTACAAGAAAACCCTTTTATTCAATACGACCGTTTAAGATTGAATTAGGTTAACTATCAAGAGCATTAGATTAGTAAGAATATTCCTCGTTTGTCTTTGTTTTTGGATGAAAATAAGTACGAAAATAATATGAAATAAATCTTAACTTCATAATTAATGGCCAAAACTCACTTTCCACTCTGTGTCTTTAAAGGTTTTTAATATAAAAATACTAAAATGTAATGTTTGTTCTTGTGTTTTCCAGGATACTGTGAACCTCAATTGGTGCTGATATTGTTGATAACACTCCAGGTAAGGTGAACAAAAACATCTTGCATAAATACTGATCCTTCTTACGTTACAGGTAAATCAGGGGAATATAAGAAAAGAACAAATAATGTGCTGTGTGGAAATGTTAACCTTTAAACCATTTGAGTGGCTGTTTCTTTTTTGTCCACTCCCTCGTGTATTGGTTTTGGATTCATTTTAATAAAATCTCGTTTTGCTTCCCTTTTGTGTCTCCAGCTCGACCGGGACACCGAGCCCCCGTCTTCCACTGGTTCCTTTTTTACAGAAATACGCCAACGTCAGCAACAAGAAGCATTCTGTGAGTACCTCACTTTTTAATTTAAATAAAAATGAATAAAATACTTATACTTAGATAAAATGAATCAAAGAGTAAACTACAGATAACCCATTCGGTAAAAGCAAGACAAAAGTGTATAAATACAAATTACCATCAAATAATCAATGCAATGAAAGTCTGTCTGTCTCTCTCTCTGGTCTGTCTTGTCTCCTGTCTGATCTGTCTCTCTGTCTGTCTGTCTCTCTCTCCTCTCTTCTGTCTGTCTGTCTGTCTGTCTGTCTGGTCTGTCTGTCTGTCTGTCGTCTCTCTGTCTGTCTGTGTGTCTGTCTGTCTGTCTCTCTGTCTTTCTTTTCTGTAGTCTCTCTGTCTGTCTGTCTGTCTCTCTGTCTGTCTGTCTGTCTCTCTGTCTGTTGTTCGGTCTTCTGTCTTCCTGTCTGTTCTGTCTGTCTGTCTGTCTGTCTCTCTGCTGTCTGTCTGTCTCTCTGTCTGTCTGTCGTCTGTCTGTTTGTCTGTCTGTCTGTCTGTCTGTCGTCGTCTTCTCTGTCTGTCTGTCTGTCTGTCTGTCTGTCTCCTGTCTGTCTGTCTGTCTGTCTGTCTGTCTGGTCTCTCTTCTGCTGTCTGTCTCTCTGCGTCTGTCTGTCTGTTGTCTGTCTGTCTGTCCTCTCTCTGTCTCTCTGTCTGTCTGTCGTGTCGTCTGGTCTGTCTGTCTGTCCTCCTCTCTGTCTCTCTGTCTCTCTGTCTGTCTGTCGTCTGTCTGCTTTCTGTCGTCTGTACGTCTGTCTGCTCTGTCTTCTGTCTGTCTGTGCTTGCTTCTGTCTGTCTGCTGTCTCTCTCTCTGTTCGTCTGTCTGTTCTGCTCTGTCTGTTCTGTCTGTCGTCTGTCGTCTGTCTGTCTGTCTGTCTGTCTTTTTGTCTGTCTGTCTGTCTGCTGTCTGTTATTTCTGTAACAAACTCAAATTTGAGTATTCTAAGATAAAAGAAGACAAATTCACTTTGAAGGGACATTATTGGGAAATGGGAGAAATCACCACACTGATTTGGTAAAAGGTTGCTAGCGTGTTGTATTCTGCTGCCAGCTATGAATGTACCAACGATAAATATATATATATTTAGTATATATGGGTATATTATCAGTTCAGTCCATTTACCATCGGATAAAGACCAACAGAAGGATATTTTTGCAGTGTTTCATGCAAACCCTCCCTATTGTCTTGCAGGTGTTGAAGCTGGACCGAAGGAGATCCGGGAGCAGCAGGATCTACTTTCCGCTTCATGAACTTCCTGAAGCAGGAAGGAGCCGTGCATGATGCTGCAGTTCTGCCTCACCGTGGGTACTGTGCTGTCACACCCAAACACAAACTGAAACCCGACAGGACGGTTGATTTCATGACTGTTGAAGTATGTCTGACTGACTGTGGGAAAAATCCTCTGGGCTTCAATATCAGGATCCATGTATTTATGACCTCTCAAGAATGTAGTCATCCATACAGAATAGTTTAATAATCAAAAATTCTGACATTTTGTCAAAAATCTCAAATCTGACTTTCCTCGAATTTCGACTTTTTCTCAAAACAAAACATTCAGACTTTTTCTCAAAAACTCAAAATTCGACTTGCCAAAATCTCTGGTCCCCGGGCTTGTAGCTGAATCTCAGGATCCATGTACTGTGATCCTCTCCAGAATGGACAGTAGTCATCACATACAGAGCATCAACTGTTCCTGACAGTGTCCTTCACATGCTGATATCCCAAGAGACGGGAGTTTACACAGTTCACAAATGGAGGAATAGAAAGCAGTATTCCAAGTTACATTTCAGATTAGCTCCACGTCACAAATGATCATGCCTGTCATATTCTGTATTTTTCCAATTCTGGGATTTCTCAAAAATCTTCCTAAAAATCTGACTTTTCCAAAAAATCTACTTTCTAAAAATCTGACTTTTTTTTTCAAAAAATATCAAAAATTCTGCTTTTCTTCAAGAATCTGACTTTCCGGTTTATGTTACTCTCATATTGGAGAGGACATTCAGGGTTCCCCAGCACTGACCCGTGGGTTGTTTTTCCTGCCCAGAGGAGTTCAACGATAAGATCTGAGTCCTGATTCTGGAGTGACTCTGAGCAGCAGCGTATTGCACGAGAGGTCGTTCACATCTACGAGACGTACTGCCTCGAGGAGAGCATCGACAAGATCAGCTGTCGACCCCTTCATCGTGGACGAGATCAGGGAACGTTGAGAGCTTACAACTTTCAGTATACACTGATGATGTCTGTCAGATTGATTGAGCCTTTTCAAAACTTCAATATTAAACTGGATAGTATCTTCAGTGTCTGATTGAGTATTAAATTCACTTCATTGTTGTTTTACTGTCCTGTCTCTCAGTGCTAGGTAGGTCCGTACCGGGTGGCGTGGTGAAACTCTTACATGCTACATGTTTTGTTGTTGTTGTGTTTACTGTCCTGTGTCTCTACAGTTGCTATAGGTCCGTACGGCGGCGTGGTGGTTGAAACTTACGTGTTCATTGTTTCTGTTGGTGTTTTTTACTCTCCCTGTCTCTCTCCGTTGCTATAGTCGTACGGCGCTTGGTGAAAGCTCTTACGTGCTACATGTTTCTGTTGGTTGTTGTTTACTTGTCCTGTTCTCAGTTGCTATAGTCCGACGGCGGCGTGGTGAAACTGCTACCTGCTAGCATGTTTCTGTTGTTTTTACTGTCCTGTGTCCCCAGTGCTATTGAGTCCGTACGGCGGGTGGTGAAACCCTTACGTGCTCATGTTTCTGTTGTTGTGTTTACTGTCCTGTGTCCCTCAGTTGTATAGGGTCCGGTACGCGGCCGTGGTGAAACCCTTACGTGCTTTCATGTTTCTGTTGTTGTTGTGTTTACTGCCTGTGTCCCTCAGTTGCTATAGTCGATACGGCGGCGTGGTGAAAGCTCTTACGTGCTTCACGTTTCGTTGTTGTTTGTGTTGTTGTTTACTCTCCCTGTCTCTCTCAGTTGCTATAGGTACCTACGGCGGGCGTGGAAACTCTTACGGGCTTCCATGTTTCTGTTGCTGTGTGGTTGTTGTTCTCTTCCTGTCTCTCTCAGTTGCTATTAGGTCCGTACGGGCGTGGTGAAACTCTTACGTGCTTCACGTTTCGTTGTTGTTGTGGTTGTTGTTTACTTCTTCCGTCTCTCTCGTGCTATAGGGTCCGTTTTTTACGGCGCGTGGTGAACTCTTACGTGCTTCACGTTTCTGTTGTTGTTGTGGTGTTGTTTACTCTTCCTGTCTCTCTCAGTTGCTATAGGGTCCGTCGGCGGCATGGTGAAACTCTTACGTGCTACATGTTTCTGTTGTGTTGTGGTTGTTGTTTACCTTCCCTGTCTCTCTCAGTTGCTATAGGTCCGGTACGGCGGGCGTGGTGAAACTTTTACGTGCTCATGTTTCTTGTTTTTGCTCTTTACCTCTCCCTGTGTCTCTCAGTTGCTATAGGTCCGTACGGCGGGCTGGTGAAGCTCTTACGTGCTTCATGTTCTTTGTTGCTCTTTTACTCTCCCCTGTGTCTCTCAGTTGCTATAGGTCCTGTACGCGGCGTGGTGAAGCTCTTACGTCTACATGTTCTGTTGTTGTTTTTACTCTCCCTGTCTCTCAGTTGCTATAGGTCCGTACGGGCGGCGTGGTGAAGCTGCAGAAGATGCACTGCCTGTTTAAGCGTACGAACACGTGCTGTCTCTGCTGGGAGAGGTCTTCCCCCCATGTTCGCCCACAGTGACGAGTGATCCGCTCTTTCTGTGTTACAACTTCTTATCCTGCAGCCGATTAATGAAGAAAAAAACCAAATTCTGTCAGCAGTAGATTTTAATTAAAGTGATACATGTATTTATGCTTTATTGTTAATGTTACGTCCAAACAGGTATCCACTCTAACTTGAGTAAGTGTGCGCTCTTAAATAATTGTTTTTTGGTTTATTTGTCTGTGTTCAGTACTTCAGACCACCGCTGAGGGAGCAGGTCTCCCACCAGGAACTCCAGAATCAGCAGGTTGGTTTCACATTAGTATTCATATTTACTTGGTGTAATGCATATTTCCAATGGAATGGTGGAAATGAGAATTAGTAAGAAATGGACATTTAAACTAGGGATGTCCCGATCACCTTTTTTTGCTCCCGATCCGATTCCGATCATTTCATTTTGACAATTTGCCGATACCGATTTTTCCCGATCCGATCTTTATGCAATGCATTAAGAGAAAAAAAAGCATTCAAGTTGTCCCTTAAGATTATTTTTTATTTAAATTGGATATTCTATCCAACATGGATATAGCTTCTTTTTTTCACAGCAGCATTGGATCAGTTCAGTTGTGCAGCATTGGATCAAAACTAAATAAAGCTTATCAGTACTCGTTAGCTTACTGCTACAATTAGACACTGCGCCCACTCTGTTGCCAGATTTGAGAGAAATAAGCAAGGTCTATGAAAACAAGCCCCAAAGAAGCAACACATACATGATGTTGTGTAATTTGAAACCAAAACTAAGGCCTCAGGATGACTTTAAGACTTGAACATGGTCATTTTTGTTTTGTAACATTGAATACAAAATTTAAAAAAAAGTATTTATAAAAAAAAGAAGAAAAAAATCCCGATCCCCGATTTTTTTCCTCCCGATTCCGATCTTTTGAAAATCACGTGATCGGCTCCGATCCCCGATCACGTGATCGGATCGGGACATCTCTACTGGTAGTTCCTCGATTATCGCTCCTCCGTTATCACTCCTCGGGCCTCCGGCAAAAATAATGCCACTGGGACGCTACTCAAGATGGCACAGACAAATCAACTTCCGGTGAAACCGAGCCCGAGGAGCGAGGAAATGAAAAATAAGAGAAGTGAAACGCACCCTATGAACCTGAAAGTGAGCATTAATGTTTCTACTACTTTGTATTTTTACAATTGCCACTGAGGTGAATTGACAAACTCTGTTCTGGAAGGTTCTTCAAAATGACCTGAAAGACCTCTTATCTGAG